TTGAAATGACACCCACCCTGTATTCAAGAGCATGTTATGTCTCAACCGATGGCGGGTACAACACAAAAACCTCAGATGATCTGAAAAAGGGTCTAAGTTACAACATATGCAAAGAAAAATAATTGGAGTTTACGCGTTTTCAGATAGTGTTAAATGTTAAATGTTTAAAAATGAAATTTTCTATTCAAAACAATTTTTTTCAATACAAATACAATAGTTTGGCAACACTGTTTGTAACCGTTTAAATGATATCGAACTCAACCGTTTATCTTTTCCAGTGATAAAGACACGGATGTCTCATGGTAGAGTGGGGTTTGCAAAATGGTGGAACTTTGTTTTGGCATTCAGGTTTAAAAAGTCACTTTCTGACAACGTTTTCCATGGAAAGTTTTGTTTAAATCAAAAGGGATGCTGTAAAAAAGTGATTGAATTCAAATGGATTTACCCTCTAGTTTAATCTCTCTAATGCACTTGCTCTATGACAATAAAGACTACAATGCTATGCCCATCAGAACCAAATTACTAACCAACATTGCTTTTGAGGTCTAGCTTTGGCAAGTACTGTCTGTTCAGTGATATTAATGTCCCAGTGTTCCACAGGTATTAAAATAAATATTCATACCACATGTGACTTTAATTCTGCACAGATGTCCTTCTCTCTACGTTGGAGTGTCCCCTCAACTGACCCACAGGCAAGGTTGTATCTGACACACACACACACACACATCAAATGACATTTTATTTGTCACATGCGCCGAATACAACTGGTGTAGACTTTACCGTTAAGTGCAGAGTTTAAAATAGTAACACAAGAGGAATAAAACAAAACACACAAGAATGTAGCTATATACAGGGAGTACCAGATCAATGTGCAGAGGTACGATGTACTTCAGGTAGATACTGTACAGTTGAAGTTGGAAGTTTACATACACCTTAGCCAAATACATTTCAACTCAGTTTCTCACAATTCCTGACATTTAATCCTAGTACAAATTCCCTGTTTTAGGTCAGTTAGGATCACCACTTTATTTTAAGAATGTGAAATGTCAGAATAATAGTAGAGAGAATGATTTAATTCAGCTTTTATTTCTTTCATCACATTCCCAGCGGGTCAGAAGTTTACATACACTCAATTAGTATTTGGTAGTATTGCCTTTAAATTGTTTAACTTGGGTCAAACGGTTCGGGTAGCCTTCCACAAGCTTCCCACAATAAATTGGGTGAATTTTAGCCCATTCCTCCTGACAGAGTTGGTGTAACTGAGTCAGGTTTGTAGGCCTCCTTGCTCACACACACTTTTTCAGTTCTGCCCACAAATGTCCTATAGGATTGAGGTCAGGGCTTTGTGATGGCCATTCCAATACCTTGACTTTGTTGTCTTTAAGCCATTTTGTCACAACTTTGGAAGTATGCTTGGGGTCATTGTCCATTTGGAAGACCCATTTGCGACCAAGCTTTAACTTCCTGACTGATGTCTTGAGATGTTGCTTCAATATATCCACATAATTTTCCTTCCTCATGATGCCATCTATTTTGTGAAGTGCACCAGTCCCTCCTGCAGAAAAGCACCCCCACAGCATGATGCTGCCACCCCCGTGCTTCACGGTTGGGATGGTGTTCTTCGGCTTGCAAGTACCCTCTTCTTCCTCCAAAAATAACGATGGTCATTATGGCCAAACAGTTCTATTTTTGTTTCATCAGACCAGAGGACATTTCTCCAAAAGTACGATCTTTGTCCCCATGTGCAGTTGCAAACCGTAGTCTGGCTTTTTTATGGTGGTTTTGGAGCAGTGGCTTCTTCCTTGCTGAGCGGCCTTTCAGGTTATGTCGATATAGGACTCGTTTTACTGTAGATATAGATACTTTTGTACCTATTTCCTCCAGCATCTTCACAAGGTCCTTTGCTGTTCTAGGATTGATTTGCACTTTTCGCACCAAAGTCATCTCTAGGAGACAGAACGCGTCTCCTTCCTGAGCGGTATGATGGCTGCGTGGTCCCATGGTGTTTATACTTGCGTACTATTGTTTGTACAGATGAACGTGGTACCTTCAGGTGTTTGGAAATTGCTCCCAAGGATTAACCAGACTTGTGGAGGTCTACGGAATTTCAATGTTTGTGCTGCGCTGTGTATTGGCTTACGAGAACGCTAGGTCCTGAAGTTGAGCCATTGGTGTCTTATTACCGATATTGCACATCTGTTGCACATGACTAACCATTTTTACATTTACATTTTAATAATTTAGCAGACGCTCTTATCCAGAGCAATTTACAGTTAGTGAGTACATACATTTTTCATACTGGCCCCCCGTGGGAATCGAACCCACAACCCTTGCGTTAAAGCGCCATGCTCTACCAACTGAGCTACATGAGGCCACAAATATTACTAACCAACTCATGTCTCAGCTCTGGTAAACTGACACATCAGTCTCATACGCCTGCTTTGTGCGACCAGAGCTGCTATGGCTGATGAGTAAGACCGTACAACAGTGTAGCGCTGTGTGGTCTGACCACACGCACACTCAGACTGCATCCCTGACAGCCCTGACTCTGACAGCCAGGAAGGACATTCAGCCTCCACTGCTTTAGAGCACAAGGCCACAAATAGCTGAACTGAGACACCTTCTCCATATCAAACACGGCTCGGCTGCACTGTGGGCGAATGGAGGAATACATACTCTTCTGTATTGAGTTCATTTACTGGAAATCAAAAGTGATCGTTTCGTGTCCTATTGCATGCTCTCTTCCTGTAACCTTTAGTGAAAGGCTTGTTGAAGCTGACACCTGCACTGCTGTGGTGGGGTGTGCACTGTGCTAAATAAGAAGCTAGGAAGATACTGTCACTAATATACACTACCAGTCATACGTTTGGACACACCTACTCATTTAAGGGTTTTTCTTTATTTTTACTATTTTCTACATTGTAGAATAATAGTGAAGACATCAAAACTGTGAAATAACACATATGGAATCATGTAGCAACCAAAAAAGTGTTAAACAAATCAAAATATATTTGAGATTTGAGATTTTTCAAATAGCCACCCTTTGCCTTGATGACAGCTTTGCAGACTCTTGACATTCTCTCAACCAGCTTCATGAGATAGTCACCTGGAATGCATTTCAATTAACAGGTGTGCCTTCTTGAAAGTTAATTTGTGGAATTTATTTTCTTCTTACTGCGTTTGAGCCAATCAGTTGTGTTGTCACAAGGTAGGGGGGTATACAGAAGATAGCCCTGTTTGGTAAAAGACCAAGTCCATATTATGACAAGAACAGCTCAAATAAGCAATGAGAAATGACAGTCCATGATTACTTTAAGACATGAAGGTCAGTCAATACGGAACATTTCAAGAACTTTGAAAGTTTCTTCAAGTGCAGTCGCAAAAACCATCAAGCGCTATGATGAAACTGCCTCTCATGAGGGCCGCCACAGGAATGGGAGACCCAGTGTTCAGTAGAGTTACCAGCCTCAGAAATTGCAACCCAAATAAAGGCTTCACAGATTTCAAGTAACAGACACATCTCAACATCAACTGTTCAGAGGGGACTGTGTGAATCAGGCCTTCATGGTCGAATTGCTGCAAAGAAACCACTACTAAATGACACCAATAATAAGAAGAGACTTGCTTGGGCCAAGAAACATGAGCAATGGACATTAGACCGGTGGAAATGTGTCCTTTGGTCTGGAGTCCAAATTGGAGATTTTTGGTTCCAACCGCCGTGTCTTTGTGAGACGTGGTGTGGGTGAACGGATGATCTCTGCATGTGTATTTCCCACCGTAAAGCATGGAGGAGGCGGCGTTATGGTGTGGGGGTGCTTTGCTGGTGACACTGTCTGTGATTTATTTAGAATTCAAGGCACACTTAACCAGCATGGCTACCACAGCATTCTGCAGTGATACGCCATCCCATCTGGTTTGGACTTAGTGGGACTATCATTTGTTTTTCAACAGGACAATGACCCAACACACCTCCAGGCTGTGTAAGGGCTATTTTACCAAGAAGGAGAGTGATGGAATGCTGCATCAGATGACCTGGCCTCCACAATCACCCGACCTCAACCCAATTGAGATGGTTTGGGATGAGTCGGAACGCAGAGTGAAGGAAAAGCAGCCAACAAGTGCTCAGCATATGTGGGAACTCCTTCAAGACTGTTGGAAAAGCATTCCAGGTGAAGCTGGTTGAGAGAATGCCAAGAGTGTGTAAAGCTGTCATCAAGGCAAAGGGTGGCTATTTGAAGAATCTCAAATATAAAATATATTTAAATTTGTTTAACACTTTTTTGGTTACAACATGATTCCATGTGTTATTTCATAGTTTTGATGTCTTCACTATTATTCTACATTGTAGAAAATAGTACAAATAAAGACAAACCCTGGAATGAGTATGTGTGTCAAAACCTTTGACTGGTACTTTAAGTCATAAGATATACCAAAATTAAATAGAGATATCCAGGTGTCTTGTGTTCTCACACAGGAAAAAACACAAATGTCAAAGAAGGAAGTTTTGTGATGGGGTACTCTTGTAGTTGTGGTTTCCGTGAGGAAGCAAGACAAGATGGTAGCGGTGCAATTTCCAGGATGAGTACTTTCATTTTAAGTGAGAATAGGGAAATAAACAGCATTTTGGTCATTTAGCAAACGCTCTTATCCAGAGCGACTTACAGTTAAGCGCATTCATCTTAAAAGGGCAACTCCACCACTTTTCAACCTCATTTTCATTACTCCAGCACAATACCTTTGTCTACATATGTGAAAACGGCGCATTTCTACATTTTGTAGAAAATATATATACATTTTAAAAGTTATACCCAATGACAGGATTCGTGGGGAGCAAGAAAATACCAACAAAGTACAGTCTCTGGACAGAGCTGTTAGTGGGAGGTTGATTGAATCGTCGTCGAGTCTGGCTTGTTCCTCTTGAAGATGCAGATGCAGAGTATGGAGGCGGTGCAGACTGAATTCAGCCAAAAGATCCAGCTGGTATTTGGGGATATTCGGTATCAAGTAATGGGCAAGCACGAAGTGGTGAGCTGGAGGATACCAGCCAGGATGAAGAATATTCCAATGATGAACATCACCTTGGCCCTGGACCAGTTACTCTTGATGCAGTTGGTGCACTTGGACCAAAGATGGCCCCCATCAATCCCAGAGCTCCCAGGACGGTTGAGATGGAGGTGATCATCATCAGGGCCCATATGACCCCACTGGAGGGTCAATAGAAACAACTAAATAGATGGCACAGGACAATAGGGAGACTTTCCACTAGAATGATGCCAATCTCACTAGGGGGGCACAAGCTGGACAGTGTGGCTCCTCCGATCAGCAGCAGGGACACTGCCCCCCAGCTGAAGTAGAGCGAGGCCATCAGCTGCCAGTTTTCATTGAGGTGGTGTATCTAGCTGTCCAGGAGACACTGATGATGATGATGAGTATACCGGCCAGGATGAAGAATATTCCAGTGATTATTATCAACTTGGCTTTAGATGGTTCCTCTTTGATGCATTTGATGCACTTGGCTCCGATGATGAAGACCATCACCCCCAGAACCCCCAAGACGATGGCGATGATGGTCATGGCTCTGGAGGCCTGTAGGTCCTGGGGAAGGAGGGAGTCGTAGAACTTACACTGTCCCATGAGCAAACAGCTCATCCACAGTCCCTCCCAGATGACCTGAGGGATGAAGGCAGTAACTCTCCACATGGGCAAAGCAGAGGCTACTATGGAGGTCACTATGGAGATGATGCATCCTATGACTCCAAAGGCGATGCCCACAGTCTCCTTCAACAAAGAGTTATTCAACAAAGAGGTTACTAGAAAAGGGGAGACAAACTTCTAGAGAAGATTCTATACATTGCCTTCAGAAAGTATTCACACCTCTTGACTTTTTCCACATTTTGTTGTGTTACATCTTGAATTTAAAATGGATTAAATTGAGATTTTTTTGACTGGCCTACACATATTACCCCATAATGTCAAAGTGGATTTTCTTTTTATATATATATTTTTTTTTTACAAACTAATTAAAAATGAAAAGCTGAAACGTCTTGAGTCAATAAGTATTCAAGCCCTTTGTTATGGCAAGCCTAAATAAATTCAGGAGTACAAATGTGCTTAACAAATCACATAATAAGTTGCATGGACATAATTTTTTAATGATTACCTCATCTCTGTACCCCACATACAGTGGGGAAAAAAAGTATTTAGTCAGCCACCAATTGTGCAAGTTCTCCCACTTAAAAATGTGAGAGAGGCCTGTAATTTTCATCATAGGTACACGTCAACTATGACAGACAAAATGAGAAGAAGAAAAATCCAGAAAATCACATTGTAGGATTTTTAATGAATTTATTTGCAAATTATGGTGGAAAATAAGTATTTGGTCAATAACAAAAGTTTCTCAATACTTTGTTATATACCCTTTGTTGGCAATGACACAGGTCAAACGTTTTCTGTAAGTCTTCACAAGGTTTTCACACACTGTTGCTGGTATGTTGGCCCATTCCTCCATGCAGATCTCCTCTAGAGCAGTGATGTTTTGGGGCTGTCGCTGGGCAACTGGACTTTCAACTCCCTCCAAAGATCTTCTATGGGGTTGAGATCTGGAGACTGGCTAGGCCACTCCAGGACCTTGAAATGCTTCTTACGAAGCCACTCCTTCGTTGCCCGGGCGGTGTGTTTGGGATCATTGTCATGCTGAAAGACCCAGCCACGTTTCATCTTCAATGCCCTTGCTGATGGAAGGAGGTTTTCACTCAAAATCTCACGATACATGGCCCCATTCATTCTTTCCTTTACACGGATCAGTCGTCCTGGTCCCTTTGCAGAATAACAGCCCCAAAGCATGATGTTTCCACCCCCATGCTTCACAGTAGGTATGGTATTCTTTGGATGCAACTCAGCATTCTTTGTCCTCCAAACACGACAAGTTGAGTTTTTACCAAAAAGTTATATTTTGGTTTCATCTGACCATATGACATTCTCCCAATCCTCTTCTGGATCATCCAAATGCACTCTAGCAAACTTCAGATGGGCCTGGACATGTACTGGCTTAAGCAGGGGGACACGTCTGGCACTGCAGGATTTGAGTCCCTGGCGGCGTAGTGTGTTACTGATGGTAGGCTTTGTTACTTTGGTCCCAGCTCTCTGCAGGTCATTCACTAGGTCCCCCCGTGTGGTTCTGGGATTTTTGCTCACCGTTCTTGTGATCATTTTGACCCCACGGGGTGAGATCTCCCCAGATCGAGGGAGATTATCAGTGGTCTTGTATGTCTTCCATTTCCTAATAATTGCTCCCACAGTTGATTTCTTCAAACCAAGCTGCTTACCTATTGCAGATTCAGTCTTCCCAGCCTGGTGCAGGTCTACAATTTTGTTTCTGGTGTCCTTTGACAGCTCTTTGGTCTTGGCCATAGTGGAGTTTGGAGTGTGACTGTTTGAGGTTGTGGACAGGTGTATTTTATACTGATAACAAGTTCAAACAGGTGCCATTAATACAGGTAACGAGTGGAGGACAGAGGAGCCTCTTAAAGAAGAAGTTACAGGTCTGTGAGAGCCAGAAATCTTGCTTGTTTGTAGGTGACCAAATACTTATTTTCCACCATAATTTGCAAATAAATTCATAAAAAATCCTACAATGTGATTTTCTGGAATTTTTTTTCTCATTTTGTCTTACATAGTTACTAATACAATTGCTCAGAGAAAAATATTTTGTTTAACAAGTAATACTTTTTTTCTAAAAAATGATTGACACCCCTGTTTTCAATACCTCACCTTCCGGGGATAATGGCACTGAGTTAGCTGTACTGTTGTTGCCTATAACGTTAAAATGCATGGGTGAATATTTAGCTAGTGGTTTTGCACACCACCATCTGTAGTGATTAACAAACACTAACTAGCTATCTAGGTAGCTAGCTAGCTACATGAATAGTTGATAGCTAACATAGCTAACGTTAGCTATACAGTGAGTGTCACGGTTTCGGCCGAGGCTGCTCCTCCTCCTTGTTCGGGCAGGTTTCGGCGGTCGTCGTCCCCAGAGTACTAGCTGCCACCGATCTATGTTTCATGTTCGTTTGGTTTTGTCTTGATGTTGTACACCTGTGTCTAGTTAGTCCTCATTAGTGTCCTATTTAGTTCTTGTTGTGTGTGTATGGTGTTGTGTGTGATTGCTCTTCTGTTTTGGTGTTCTGAGCTACGTACTTCCCTCCGTTGTTTGGAGAGGTTTTCGCACATGTTAGTGCGCCTTTTATTTGACGCCTGTGTGCGCCTTTATTTCGCCTCCGGGCTTATTGTGCTCGTTTACTACGTGAATAATTCATTAAAGTCTTTTGGACTTAGCTTCTGCGTCCTGCGCTTGATTCCTGCACCACACCCACCTTCAGCACCCCTGACAGTGAGGGAAAAAAGTATTTGATCCCCTGCTGATTTTGTATGTTTGCCCACTGACAAAGACATGATCAGCCTATAATTTAATTTTTCGGTTTATTTGAACAGTGAGAGACAGAATAACAACAAAACAATCCAGAAGAACGCATGTCAAAAATTTTATAAATTGATTTGCATTTTAATGAGGGAAATAAGTATTTGACCCCTCTGCAAAACATGACTTAGTACTTGGTGGCAAAACCCTTGTTGGCAATCACAGAGGTCAGACGGTTCTTGTAGCTGGCCACCAGGTTTGCACACATCTCAGGAGGGATTTTGTTCCACTCCTCTTTGCAGATCTTCTCCAAGTCATTAAGGTTTCGAGGCTGACGTTTGGCAACTCGACCCTTCAGCTCCCTCCACAGATTTTCTATGGGATTAAGGTCTGGAGACTGGCTAGGCCACTCCAGGACCTTAATGGGCTTCTTCTTGAGCCACTCCTTTGTTGCCTTGGCCGTGTGTTTTGGGTCATTGTCATGCTGGAATACCCATCCATGACCCATTTTCAATGCCCTGGCTGAGGGAAGGAGGTTCTCACCCAAGATTTGACAGTACATGGCCCCGTCCATCGTCCCTTTGATGCGGTGAAGTTGTCCTGTCCCCTTAGCAGAAAAACACCCCCAAAGCATAATGTTTCCACCTCCATGTTTGACAGTGGGGATGGTGTTCTTGGGGTCATAGGCAGCATTCCTCCTCCTCCAAACACAGCGAGTTGAGTTGATGCCAAAGAGCTCGATTTTGGTCTCATCTGACCACAACACTTTCACGCAGTTCTCCTCTGAATCATTCAGATGTTCATTGGCAAACTTCAGATGGCCCTGATCTTGTCCCTGACATCCTTGGAGAGCTCTTTGGTCTTGGCCATGGTGGAGAGTTTGGAATCTGATTGATTGATTGCTTCTGTGGACAGGTGTCTTTTATACAGGTAACAAACTGAGATTAGGAGCACTCCCATTAAGAGTGTGGTCCTAATCTCAGCTCATTACCTGTATAAAAGACACCTGGGAGCCAGAAATCTTTCTGATTGAGAGGGGGTCAAATACTTATTTCCCTCATTAAAATGCAAATCAATTTATAACATTTTTGAAATGTGTTTTTCTGGATTTTTTTGTTGTTATTCTGTCTCTCACTGTTAAAATAAACCTACCAGTAAAATTATAGACTGATCATTTCTTTGTCAGTGGGCAAACGTACAAAATCAGCAGGGGATCAAATACTTTTTTCCCTCACTGTATACAATTAGCTGTAAGGTCCCTCAGTCAAGCAGTGAATTTCAAACACAGATTCAACCACAAAGACCAGGGAGGTTTTCCAACACCTCGCAAAGAAGGGCACCTATTGGTAGATGGGTAAAAATAAATTGAATTGACATTGAATATCCCTTTGTGCATGGTGAAGTTATTAACCCTCCCGTTGTCCTAGGGTCAAAATGACCCGCCACTGTGTTGAACCAACTTTATTTAATTTTTATATTTTTGGGATCATTTGTGAGAAGGAGGCAGTGAGACTTTAAAGAAAGTATCACTGCCTCCTTCTCACAAATGATCCCAAAAATATAAAAATTAAATAAAGTTATACTTTGGATGGTGTATCAATACACCCAGTCACTACAAAGATACAGGCGTCCTTCCTAACTCAGTTGCTGGAGAGGAAGGAAACCGTTCAGGGATTTCACCATGAGGCCAATGGTGACTTTAAAAAAGTTACAGTTTAATGGCTGTGATAGGAGAAAACGGACATTGTAGTTACTCCAAAATATTAACCTAATTGACAGTGAAAAGAAGGAAGCCTGTACAGAATACAAAATATTCGAAAATATTCCAAAACATGCATCCTATTTGCAACAAGGCAATACTGCGAAAAATGTGGCAAAGCAATTAACTTTTTGTCCTCAATACAAAGTGTTATGTTTGGGACAAATCCAATACAACACATTACGGAGTAACACTCTCCATATTTTCAAGCATTAATGGTGGCTGGATCATGTTATGGGTATGCTTGTAATCGTTAAGAACTGGGGAGTTTTTCAGGATAAAAAATTAATGGAATGGAGCTAAGCACAGGCAAAATCCTGGAGGAAAACCTGCTTCAGTCTGCTTTCCACCACACTGGGAGCTGAATTCACCTTTCAGCAGGACAATAACCTAAAACAAGGCCAAATCTACACTGGAGTTGCTTACCAAGAAGACAGTGAATGTTCCAGAGTGGCTGAGTTACAGTTTTGACTTAAATTGGCTTGAAAATCTATGGCAAGCCTTGAAAATGGCTGTCTAGCAATGATCAACAACCAATTTAACAAAGCTTGAAGAATGTTTTAAAGACTAACGGGCAAATGTTACACAATCCAGGTGTGGAAAGCTCTTAAGAGACTTACCCAGAAAGACTCACAGCTATAATTGCTGTCAAAGGTGCTTCTACAAAGTATTGAATCAGGGGTGTGAAAACATTATGGGGTGTAGATGGGTGAAGAAAAAATAACAATTTAATCCATGTTGAATTCAGGCTGTAACACAACAACATGTGGAAAAGTCAAGGGGTATGAATACTTTCTGAAGGCATTGTAACTCTAGGAGCTTCAGTCTTTACAAAGTACCAGAACAACATCCTCTTCCAAATGCTCTCACCTTTCGATTCTTCTGTAACTGGAGATCTGAGTCTGTCAGAAGCCCACTTTGTCTGATCGATGCTGTGATTTCACTTAAATATGTTGTCATGGAAACACGAAACCAGGCCCCTCTCCACCTGCAGTTTGCAATTTGCCAAAATGCGTATCCAGGGTCTAATATATGTTTTTAGGCCATAACCTTCTTAAATGGAAGGAGTGGAGAGAGGCAGTGAGTCACTCACAGCAGCACAGGCGGCCTTGAACACGGAGGAGGAGCAGACTTGGTGACCCAGGCGTAGGTAGGCATGACTCACCACACAAACAAGTAGCTACCACCGAGGCCTGGGTAGAGGGGGTGGGGGGGAGGGAGGGGGGGTTGACGATATACTGTAGGCAGATATCACAATAATTATTAATAACCATTGTTGATGTACTGTGTATAATATGTATTTTTTTTTTAAATTGGCAAATAAAATCAATCAATCAACCCTGTATAGTGCATACCAAGTCATACATTTTTATATGCCTTTTTTCACATTCACATATAGAAGCTGTTCTATGTGGTCCATCAATTTTAAACTTCAAAGCAAGGCTTAGTTCTGCATTTTCAATGCAGGCTCCATGAGTAAAAGCTCACAGACAAGTGTTCGCTACAACAGTAATTTAAAGAAGAACCTTCCTCCCTGCTAAGGGCCTTGGGGCAGCATGGCCAGGAGAGGGAGTGTGGAGGTAATCGTTTCGGACGGGTCAGTTTGTCCCCCAGCGATGCACCCAGGGGCCAGCTGTCCGGCACTGTGACTGAGACCGGGGCGGCGTCATGACATGACCGTGATACCCTGATCTGTTACCCATAGCAACAGAGTGGAGGTTCTGAGTGTCCGTTACCTCGCATTAACCCACGCCCCTTTCCATGGTTGTGACTAGATGGAGTACAGCTAGAGATGGAAGTGACTTTTCGTAGCAGGTTAGGAGAGAATTTGAGCTAGCCCTAACCTTAACCTAATTCTCCTAACCTGCTATGTTAATTATCCTATCCTGCTGGCATAAGTTCTCCTAACCTACTACGAAAAAGTCACTACCGTCCGTAGCTGTATACCATCTAGTCAAAACCCCTCTCCACCTGTCATTCACGCTAAGTCCCACCCTGTAATGACTCACTTGTGTCTTTACTCCAGCCACCTCCCCGATCATACACTGAGCCCTGTGTCCTCAGCCACTGTTAACCTAAACTCTGTCTCTACCTCTCTGCTACAGTCACTCCAGCCTCAGAGAGAGATAGGAAAGGGTGACGCCAGGCCTGCCCTTTCAGAGTGAGCTCTGATTGGATTGAAGATCTAACCTGACTCCCACTGCTACAAGGGAGAGTGATTATACACACCAGCTGTGACAGTGCCCTGGCCCAGGGCTCTGATGAGTAACTGAGACTTGTAACGGTTCCTACTACCAGACAGATTTCCGCAAGCACTCTGCAAGGGGTTAACATCATATCTCACTGAGAGGGGTGAGGTGTGGGGGGGCTTAGAGAGACAGCTATGGGAAAACAAAGAGGGTATTTACTGCGTGAGCTGCCAGACAGCACCTAGACTAGAGTAATAATTGATTGGGCATTTCCTTAACACTAGTCTCACAACACAGTAGCAATAGCAGAAATCAACTCAAAGACAACACAACTAAATGACTGTCTGCAGCATCATAAACATTCTAAAAACTAAATAACTATTTAGTCAATAACACAGTCCTTCAGGAGGTGCTAATATGTGGATATTATCCTATTATACTATAATATTGCAGTTGTGTTGCATTCCAACCTAACAACATTACGTAACTTAGCTACCAATACTATATGTCACAATGATAGACACGCAAAAACCTTCCCAGGTAGGAACAGCAATGTAAGCTATGAGGAAAAGAAGACCCGATGTTCCTCATGGCAGGGGAAGCACCCAACAGAAACTATTAAAGTTGACTTCATTATGCTCTATAGGAGGAAGTATCTGTTGTTTACTGCACTGCAAAGTCAGTCTGTCACGATCGTCGGGAACAGAGGACCAAGGCAAAGCGTGGAAGGTGAACATACTTTTTATTAAATGATACACAAACAAAAACAACAAAACGATAACGTGACGTCCTTGGATCAAACACAAACCTAATTGGAACAAGATCCCAAAAACACTGTGGGAAAACTGGCTGCTTAAGTATGGTTCCCAATCAGAGACAACAAGCAACAGCTGATACACGTTGCCTCTGATTGAGAACCACACTGGCCAACATAGAAATACTAAACTAGAACGAAAAACAAATGAAAACTCACACCCTGGCTCAACATACTAGAGTCCCCAGAGCCAGGGCGTGACACAGTCAGTCTGCAGAAATATGCAGCATTCAAAGTTATGACTGATCTGCCTGCTGTAAGTCCTAAAATGTTTTTGTTGTCTGCTTTGTACAGTCTTGGTGTTGTGTTGGTATAACTGTAGCTACAATACTTCCTGTCTGAGATGAGATCGTGAGTTGAGAGGAAACACTTTGACCTCCCAGTCCTCTAAGACTCGTACCGGCCTTTGTAACACATTAACAACAACATTTCACTGTACGATTAGTGCAACTAACAATACCACTCAGGCCATATGTGGGAAAAGTATTGAAATGATTCTCAGAAACTAGCAACATGTTTCTCTATTAGCAATCATGATCTACTTATGTTGTGAGGAAGGAAACATCAACCCCAATGGTTGCGTGTATGATCTGTGTCAAGTAAGCATGTGATGATGATATTCAAAAGACACGTGTACTGCATCCTGTATGATGGTCACAGAGACAGTCAAGCTGGGATGTGATGTCTACAGTCTAATATGCACCAAGACTCAACATGTATTTCTGTTGTGACATAGGCTAATGTGGCCTAGTCAAAGTCCAGACCTAATCCCAATTGAGATGTTGTGGCAGGACTTGAAACGAGCAGTTCGTGCTTGAAAACCCACAAATGTCGCTGAGTTAAAGCAGTTCTGCATGGAAGAGTGGGCCAAAATTCTTCCACAGAGACGTGAGAGACTGATCAACAACTACAGGAAGCGTTTGGTTGGAGTCATTGCAGCTAAAGGTGGCACAACCAGTTATTGAGTGTAAGGGGGCAATTCATTTTTCGCACAGTGGCATTGGGTTTTGCATAACTTTGTTTATGAAATTAATGAAATAAGTATGTAATTGTGGTGTTATTTGTTCACTCAGGTTCCCTTTATCTAACATTAGGTTTTGGTTGAAAATCTGATAACATTCAGTATCAGAAATATGCAAAAGTAGAGAAACTTAGAAAGGGGGCAAATACTTTTTCACAGCACTGTAGATTTCCTGGTTCAGTCCTATACTGTAGGCCTACAAAGACGAACATTACATATTCTAATGCTTTGGTAAAGATAAGCATGAGGCAAATATGACACCTAGTGGTAAAATGAAGCCCTTACTGATTTATATTTGTATGGACTAGGATAGAAGATGATGAGAATAGCAAGAGCATGCTTCTCCAACCTTGTTCCTGTAGAGCTACCGTTCTGTAGGTTTTCAGTCCAACCCTAATCTAGTGCACCTGATTCTAATAATTAGCTGGTTGATCAAACTGAATCAGGTTAGTTACAACTGGGGTTGGAGCGAAAACCTACAGGAGGGTAGCTCTCCAGGAACACTGTTGGAGAGCCCTGAGATATAGAGGATGCTGGGTCTGTACAAGAAAAACACAGGTGTCTCATACAGAAGCACAAGAGGAATGGGGCCATAAGTGGTGTAAGGAGAGGTCATCTGCTGATATCCATTATAGACACAAAGGCCCCTAAGAGCCGGATGGCCCCAGGAAGATAGCATGAAGTCGTGATTTGTAGAGGCCTCTGCTCCTGTCTCTGTGGATCTTTCCTGCTACACAAAGCTCTCTGACCTCCTAAACATGCAACATTATATTTCTCCCCTCCTGGCCCATTTAGAGTCCTTTGCGAGTCTCCTTTCTATCCTGGGTTTGGCACTGAGCTCTCCCAGGCCCAAGTGTTACAGTCTCAATTGTTGAGGTAAAGATAAAAACATTATGAGGTCTCTTTTCACAACGAAAACCTTAATTTGATTGTATTACTTATATAAAACCAATCTCTTTAGCTTACTAAAAGGATTCATCTGATTGTGTGTCTCATTTTGTAATACCAATGATTGTATAATCATGTATGTACAGAAACTGTAGTAATGAGCAATAACAATACCAAAAAGTGTATTAAATAGAAAGGCGGTTATAAGCACCTTTTATTCATTGTGAGGCCACCCACCATATGATCTGTCTATTTAAAGAGCAGACATGGGACTGCCCTGACTAATATTGCTCTGGGCAGAAAGAAAGAGATGAGACATGTAAGTCGCTCTGGATAAGAGCGTCTGCTAAATGATGTAAATGTAAATGTACATGATTGAAGAGTTGGATACTGTCTGGTTATCTAACCAGTTATTTCTATCTGATAGGGTTCCATTTTCCCTTCAGGCTATAGTATTGTATTAGCGCTAACAGAACAAGACAGTCAATAAAAAATGTAAAACACTGTCAGAAATCTGACAAAACATTTGAAAGACATTTCCTTGAAATGTAACCCCATGATTCCCAGAGCGATGACAAGCCTTAATGAATCAATTACTTTTCAGTGGTAATTGATTCATTTCCAAAATAGACTTACACAGTGTCACCGCAGGTTCATTTGAGCTAATTATATTCCCACTCTGCTATCTCTAGGCTCTATCTGTCTGGCCTGGTAGTGTTGGCATGCTTTATCATACTACACAGACAGGAAATGAACTCTCACTACTAAAATATCCTGAGTCAAGTGAAGGTTACACACACACCTGCCAGTTCATCCATGTGCACTGAACACTGATTGATTACCATATTGGCTGCAATTTTGTTTATTGTTTTACTGCGTAGCATTATAACAACTCATAATCTAAAAGTAATTGATTCAATTAATGCTATTATTCTGCTGTCCAGTTATTCATTGCTGTTCTGCTTCCTCACTCTACATCTCACCCCATGATGGTTGGGTATGGAGTGGGAAACATCTTCTACGCTAGATACAATACAGGGGGCATCTTTTCCTAAAGCAATCCTCTGACATCACGACTTGGATTTGCATCAACTAACCAGTTAATTAGTAGCAGAACAGGAAGTAACAGAATTACAGGAAATTGCAACTACTGTATATTTTCCTAACAAGGGTGGGGAATGACCTCCTAACTCAATCAATGTAATTAGTGCTCAGAGTGCCTCTAACCCCAGACCCCTATCATTACTGACAATGGGCGCAATTACTCACCATTTTCTGTAGGGTTTGTAATGAATCTCTGTGAATATAGCAATATGATTAAGGGCCCTCTTTAACAAAAACAACAAGAAGTGTAAGACTCAAAGCTGTGCTGAGGCCATTGTTAGGGAAAGCTGTAAAAACGGACAGCCTCACGATGACCATCACATTGGTACCAGAGGAAATCCTGTCGTGACAGGACAGGACAGGAACCCATGCTGGGTGACCCTGTTTGTTCCTGTCAACAGCCCCTGAAACTGGGAGAGGATGGACTTCATACTGAAGCAGGGCTCAACCTGCATTAGTGATGAGGAACACAGTGAAACCCTGAACAGTATTTTATGAAATATTGATGGTTTTGTTATCATTAGCAATTTTATTAACTCTTATTTTATAGCCCACTATTTCATTGTAATAAATCAGTAACTTGCCCATAAAATTAATATGTTAGCAGCTTAACTGACACATTTTCTAGGCAAAACCACAATGTTGGGTTACAGTTGATACGGCTGCTGCAAGGCTAGAATGACGCATATAGTGGCTATGGGCATGCTTTGTCACATCTGTCACATCAATGAGGGAACTAAAGATAAAACTGGCTCTATTTCTGTCAGTCCTCAGATGGGTCCCTCTTTCTCAGGTCAGGCCCCTCGCTGTCTGCGTACCCATCCGCCCTGGCACCTGAGCACAGTCATCCAGTGGGACACGCAGCCAGCTCTGGTCCCAATGCTACAAGATGTTCCCAAATAAGCCAGAACACACAGGAAGCGGAGGACTGGGACGGGGTGGAGGGGTTTAGCTATGCGAACACACATCAGGAAGGATAGGGGTTTCCGTATCCCCCCAAACTCTTGGGAAGCACACCATCTACTCCCCCAGTGATTCCTCTCTCTGCCATTAATACAGGAGAACATCAGCAGTTCAGCTCCCCATAAACCAATGCACATTATCTCTGAAGAACGGAAGGACAGAGCCTGTGTGTGTGGTCGGGAGAGTGTTCTGTTGAACAATGGAAAGCACTGTCAGAAATTCTACTGTGAGCCCCGACTAGAGTCAGGGCTACAAGGCTGTACGACAGCTGTCAAACCTCTAGGTCTATGCTCCTCTGAAATAGACACTATCTTCCCCGTTAAGGCTGCAGTACGAATCCTGGTTTCTAGTAGATAACATTCATTTAATAGCAGTCATAATAAATGACAGAAATTGGAGCACAGTCTGTGGATGTGACAGGGAGTAGTTGTGACAGGGACAGGGACCTGGTGGGCTGAACAGAGGTGTGAATGAGATGCGTGTCCCTGCAGGGAAGGTCCTGTCATCTCTGCCAGCTACAGCATACTGAGAAGAACAGTGTGGCGTGTAAAGGTGGCGGGTCAGATGATTGTCTGAAGACTTGTGTTGTAATATCATCATCATGTAGGTAGGTAGTTCCTCTGTATGTTCTTATAATCAACAGCAGTGTAAGGCCAATGCTATTGTACTGAAGATTCTGAAGGCAGAAAATACTTAGCTAACAGTTATACAGCATTGTGTGAAACTGTAGCTGGATATCAATGAGATATCTGTATCCGTACAGTCCACATCGATCATCACAGAGTTCCCATTGTTTCCTTATTGGCCCACTCCGAACAATAGTGCCAGTGGGTGACCGAGTTATTGCGGTTCTTGCTCAGAGCTTGTTCACAGACAGGACAATTGATGACGATAACAATTGTCACTGTTTAGCAAAAACACAGATAATTTATTCATTGTATGCTTAACATGGCTTGTAATTTGTTGGCCCCTAGATCAATTGGTTTATCATAGATTCAAGACTGTGCAAGTAATACAGTATAATCTGTAGAGTAGCACAGCAGGCTCTCAGGTTGTATGACCTCTAGCCAAACAGGTGTATCAGTCTAATCTGTTGGAGGAGACTTCAGCCCTGGTTTAAAGGACATGTTGATGTATTGGCTAATGGCCAAGCCTACTGCACTCACTGTGAGAGCAGTATGCTTTCATGGTATATACTGCACTCACTGTGAGAGCAGTATGCTTTCATGGTATATACTGCACTCACTGTGAGAGCAGTATGCTTTCATGGTATATACTGCACTCACTGTGAGAGCAGTATGCTTTCATGGTATATACTGTAATTAAAGGGGAATAACAGCAAATTCTGAAAATGTGTCCATGTTCCTAAACTCCTCTGACTCGTTGTTGGACTGTCTGTCGAAGTACGCACCTCTCTCACTCAGGGCGAGCGAGGTAGACCTAGAGCGAGAGCTACATCATAGGGTTATACAGCCTCCCACTCACTGCAGCGCTAGATAGAACTTTGTGGATTAACGCAAATCTACGACAAATATAAAAGTTCTGTCACAGCGAAAATACTATATTAGATTGTGAGATATGGCATAAATATTTTATGTGATACATTTGGGCAGCGGATTCACAATTTTTCATTTTCTGAGATCTCTGCCAAGCAAGGAGGAAAGGAGCCGACCTAATCCCGCCTTCCACTTTTACCTTGCGACCCCATTGGAAATCATTTCACCTGCCAATCAACATTGTCCATCTTCTCTCTGACTGTAGGCTACATCCCTCGTTGCATGGAGTGATCAGATCATTACAGCAGAAGATATCTACAAAAATGAGAGGGAAAGACTAGTGGGGGTGCAACATAGCGTCCACTTCATAGGATGACACATATGGGCTATAAGACTAATTTATGTAACACGTCTCATTAGATTGTAACTTTCCTACAGTAGCCAGCTGACAGTGAACATATCCTTGTAAATTCATTTCTGTTTTCAGATATAATAAATAGATAGATGCCTACATCAGTACCTAGGCTATCGAAATGCAATTTATGCTCACTGTCCAAGTCCATTGGGGTAGATCAAATATGCTATTATTACATGTATTATTAGCCTACATTTACATTTTTAAAATCGGTAGAATAATGACAATAATTTACAACATTATACAGAGGATTTCCTTTGCAAGACAGGGCCAAATTACCTTCCTAGAGCGAGCAAGAGAATGTGATAATGTAGGCTAATTTGATCAAATGGAAAAGTATTCTTATAGCCTATGTTGGCATCAAATACTCTTGCATCAAATACCCTACTCCTTGAAAGTCGTGTATTGATTATATATAGCATATGTGATGAATGATGATCACTGCTATCAACAGCTGCAGTGTTGTTCATTGGATTACCCCAGATCATGGAATAGGCTATGTGAAAGTTTATGAAGACAAAAGGCGGACACATGGAATTATTTGATTTGGATAGATGGTTGACATGACAAAGGTAGGCTGATATTCTTATTTAAATGTGGGTGAAACTGTTCTTCAGTACTTGTTATGTGTGTTTCACGCACAGGACTTCAGCCTAGATGGACTCGCGCCTGGTAAAAACCAATATATTCCAAAATTCTAACAAAATACACCAGCAACATCATTTAGGAGATAAAGGTTGTGAGCACAGTGTTTCTGATCAGATCGACAATTATCTTCTAATGTATTTGTCTGGCTACGTTGCCATCTTTAGAACACAGGATTTTCTGCTTGGTTTCAAGAGCACTGAAAGAGAGAACTGAAATAGGCTCCTACCGAGGTCTGATGATGCTTCTGACTACATAGGAAAAGGTGTGTTGGGTGATATGCTAGTATGATATAGGCTATTTTGAAAACTGCCAGTGTGTTGTGTTTATGAGGAGCCCCCTCGTGTCTGTTGTTGCATGAGATGGCTGCTGTTTCCTCCTTGCTTGGCAGAGAACTCAGAAAAATTCAAAATTGTGACCCAAATGTATCACATAAGAATGTATATGCCATATCTCACAATCGATTGGACTTCCCGAATGTGGTATTTTCGCTGTGACAGAACATTTATATTTGTCGTAGATTTGCGTTAATCCACAAAGTTCTATCTAGCGCTGCAGTGAGTGGGAGGCTGTAAAACCCTATGATGTAGCTCTCGCTCTAGCTCTACCTCGCTCTCCCTGAGTGAGAGGTGCGTACTTCGACAGACAGTCCAACAACGAGTCAGAGGAGTTTAGGAGCATAGACAAATTGTCAACATTTGTCGCTATTGCCCTTTAAGACAGGTACAGTATTAGTGGTGAGAGTGGGATACTTGAGCATGAAACATCATTTCCCCCCCGAACAACTTTGAAATATTGTGTGTTGTGAATGCATAATGAAAAGGATACTGACTTAGGCCCTTTCTAGGAAATCCAACACGCACGCATGCTCGCACTCACACTCACCTTGTGACAATGACATGGCATGCTCATTAAAACACACACTCCCACAGTGAGGTGTCCTGCAGTTTTCTCAGGTCAGTGTGCTCCTCGAGCCCCCTGCCTACTGTTAAAGGAGCTCTGAAGGTACTGGAACAGCAGATGCCTCCCCCCACCATTCCCTACACCTCTCACCCACCTCCACAGTTGCCTGAGGATTGAGCTACGGATCAATACTGTGAAAGGGATTGTAAACAACAGCAGGAGTCATATACAGTTACAGTAGTGTTACTTCAGCACTAGAACAGAAGACTCATCTTTTGCCAGTATCACTGTGATCACCAACTCTGGCCATCCAATTTGAAAATCCTGCGTATTAGCATACAGTAGGTTATATTTTGCACACGTGTTTTAGGAACGAACACTGTTATTTTGCTAATGTATTGTCACATGGCCCCATTCAGGTAATCATTTGAGCCTTCAAATAAGTGTAAAAACAAGACACTAAGTACATTTCCAGTCCATCCTTGATCTTTCATGCTGGTTTAGGTTTTAAAGCTCGGGCCATTTATAAGCTATTTTTAACTCTCTTAACTGTTACGCAACACAACACATATCCCTTATCTTGAAGATTTACAACAGGGCAGGCGGACAAACAGGGGTGATACTATACAAAGATGTACCATGCCGCTTTATGAGACAGGAAACATCTTTCTGAATTACATCGTTACTAGCTCGTATAGCTTCATTTCAAAAGAAGATGGTAGGTCTTTTCAAAATAGATTTTTCTTTTTCCATTTCAGTTTCCACAACTGATGACATTTTGAGTTGAAAATATAAAACTGGCTCCTTTCAGAGCCTGGAATACATTTAGAAACTAATACTAGACCATTATCAAATATTTATTATGTGTTCCCTAAAAATAAGTTATGACACTGTGTTTTACATTGATAAGAAGCTCAAAGAAAACATCAAACGCAAATTCTGAATTTGACCCACAGTAAAAACCCTTATTTAGTATTGCTTAATAACACTATCTTTTACTTATCTTTTTATTTTATTTTACTATTACTGAACAACCTCTACAAACCTGACACATAGACTACTTTGTATTCCAGTCTGAACTGTAGTAAGTGACTACTCTTTCTGTCTCACCTCGCCATTGTGCCAACCAAGGCGCTGATGGACCCTGTATGTGCTGGCTTTACACTGGCATTACCAGGTTTAGACCTGATCCAGGGGGAATGGTGGTGTCATCATCATTTGTTAGATGGAGAGGCATGAGGGTTCCTAGCATTAATATCCTGTGAATCCCTGGGAGAAGTCACCTTAGAGTGCAGCCAGAGAGATTGGGCCCCGGGCAGGGAGGGAGATTGGGACCTGGGCTGGGCGGGAGAGAGGATTGGTGTGAATGGCTGTACTCTGGGCTGTTTTTAGCAGAACAGATGGCCTTTGAGGTTTCACTGAGAGGGCACAAATAATTAGGACAGAAATTAATGAGGCCAAGGCTGCTTCTGTTAGCCTGGTTAAACCCGACTGAACGCTACTCTCACCATTGTGCATGGGTGAAGGCAGCATTCAGTCTGGTTTAGCTAGGCTATGAATCTGTTCGCAGCTAAATCACCGTACCAGGAATGGATACTAGCTAACTTACTGTACACAAATCTGAATCTGAGCTCACTAAGACAACACTCAAGGCATTGTCTTAGTGTCAACAAGGGAATTCTTTTAAATCCCAATGTACTTCTCAGGGATGTACAAGCAAAAGACCGGCAGAGTTAACAGCAAAACAAGTCCCTTGTCCTACAGAAATCACTTACAAATCCCTCAAGGGTACTCCTTCCTGGTTTCTTTTTCCCTGATAGGTTGACCCTAAACAAAATGTCAGAACTGTTTAATTCAGGTTGGATAAGGTCAAATCAATTGTTGAAGGAGTTCTTGAAAACCACGTAACCTGTTCTACTCCTTATATCAGCCTCTGACTTAGTCTATTGTGTCCAGGCTGTTACGTTGCAGAACCAAGGAAACACAGCACTGAGAGCTAATCCAATAACATAGGACCTCTTCGGTTAGTGAAACATCAAGCCAGCATCAAGCTACTCTTACACAAAACTAAGACTGATTTACACATGGCTGGAATGCTGTTTCAGCCAATCAGCATACAGGATCGAAAGTACCTGTTTTATGAACAAATTGACCCACACTATGTAGAGATATTGTATCTCATATAAATAAATAAAAAGTATGAACATTTATGCACTCACTACATGTCACGATCGTTGAGAGACGGGTCAGACCAAGGTGCAGCGTGGTATGCGAACATGTGAATTAAACTGGATAAACACTAGACAAAATAACAAAATCAACGAAACCGTGAAGTCCTATGGGCTATAACCGAAACAAACCAAACAGGAACACAAACAAGATCCCACAACCTAGGCAGGAAAACTGGCTGCCTAAGTATGATCCCCAATCAGAGACAACGAGCGACAGCTGCCTCTGATTGGGAACCACACCCGGCCAAACATAGAAATACAATACATAGAGTTTCACACCCTGACCAAACTACCTAGAGAATAACAGTCTCTCCAGGTCAGGGCGTGACAGTACCCCCCCCCCCCCCCCCAAAGGTGCGTACTCCGGCCGCACCAACTTGACTCATTAGGGTAGGGTCCGGGTGGGCATTCCGCCTCGGAGGCGGATCCAGCTCCGGGCGTGACGACCTCTCCCTCTCTGCCTCCCCGTTGCGCCCCTGGTCTGGTCTGGACCTCGGCGCGATGCTTCCCCTCTCCTTCCTCCCACGATGCACCAAGCCCTGTCTGGACACTGGTGTGGGAGACCCCGACCCTGGATAGAGGCTGACTTCTGGGTCTGGAATGGAGCCGCTGACCGGAGCTGAACTGGACCCCGGTGGCGCGGACTGCTCTGGCTCCGCAGTGGAACCGCTGACCGGAGCTGGACTAGGCACCGGTGGAGCGGACTGCTCTGGCTCCGGAGTGGATCCGCTGACTGGAGCTGGACTGGGCACCGGTGGAGCGGACAGTTCTGGCTCCGGAGTGGAGCCGCTGACCGGAGCTGGACTTGGCACCGGTGGAGCGGACTGCTCTGGCTCCGAAGTGGAACCACTGACCGGAGCTGGACTTGGCACCGGTGGAGCGGACTGCTCTGGCTCTGGAGTGGAACCGCTGACCGGAGCTGGACTGGGAACACGCACCACTGGTCTGGTGCGAGGAGCAGGCACGGGTCGTGCCGGACTGGATACGCGCACCACTGGTTTGGTGCGGGGAGCAGGTACGGGGCGTACCGGGCTGGCGACAGGGACCACTGGTCTGGTGCGAGGAGCAGGCACGGGTCGTGCCGGACTGGATACGCGCACCACTGGTTTGGTGCGGGGAGCAGGTCCGGGGCGTACGGGGCTGGCGACAGGCACCACTGGTTTGGTGCGGGGAGCAGGTACGGGGCGTACCGGACTGTGGAGGCGCACTGGAGGTCTGGAGCGTAGAGCTGGCACAACCCGTCCTGGCTGGATGCCCACTTCCGCACAGTACGTGTGTGGCATTAGCACAGTACGCACTGGGTTGTGCATGCGCACTGGCGACACAGTACGTAGAACCGGCGCAGGATATGCTGGACCGAGGAGGCTTACTGGAGACCAGGAGCGTTGAGCCGGCACAACCCGTCCTGGCTGGATGCCCATTTTCGCACGGCACGTGCGTGGCGCTAGCACAGGACGCACTGGACTGTGCCGGTGCACTGGCGACACAGTGCGTAGCTCCGCATAACACGGAGCCTGCACGGTCACACACTTCCTAGCGTGAGTAAGGGGAGTTGGCTCTGCTCTGAACCCTGGCTCCACCAACCACCCCGTGTGCCCCCCCCCCAAACTTTTCTTGGGGCTGCTTCTTGGGCTTTCTTCATTACCGCGTCCTATTAAGTCACTGTTTCTCTCCAACCTGGGCCTCCTCCTTCGCCCAGGGTCCTTTATCGGCTACACTCACCTTCTCCACCCTCATCCCTTTCAGGGCCTCCATATGCTTGGCCAGATCCTCTCTTATCTCCCCCCAAGTCCATGATCTCTGCTCCTCCACCTGAGTCCAGGGTGTCTGCTGCTCCTGGGCACGCTGCTTGGTCCGTTGGGGGTGGGATCTTCTGTCACGATCGTTGAGAGACGGGTCAGACCAAGGTGCAGCGTGGTATGCGAACATGTTTATTAAACTGGATAAACACGTACAAAAAAACAAAACGCAACGAACCGTGACGTCGGAAGGCTATACACAAACAAGCCAAACACACCGAAACACAAACAAGACAGGAAAACTGGCTGCCTAAGTATGATCCCCAATCAGAGACAACGAGCGACAGCTGCCTCTGATTGGGAATCACACCCGGCCAAACATAGAAATACAATACATAGAGTTTCACACCCTGACCAAACTACCTAGAGAATAACAGTCTCTCCAGGTCAGGGCGTGACACTACAGTAAAGTCGCTCTGGATAAGAGTGTCTGCTAAATAATTAAAATGTAAAATAATGCAGCCATTTTTATCTCAATATCAGATCATTTCTGGGTAACAATTAAGTACCATAATGTGATTACTTTCAATTAAAACGGTCAAAAAGAAACAAAAATATTGTCTTAGCAAAGAGCAATTTCTCAAGCAAGAATTTCGCGACGACTGTCAGAGTGGTCTGGGTGGGGAGGCCAAAACAAAAAACTAGCTGTTATTGGCAGAGAGGTATGGAACTCTTTGATTTATTACATTTTACATTGACATTTTAGTCATTTAGCAGACGCTCCTATCCAGAGCGACTTACAGGAGCAATTAGGGTTAAGTGCCTTGCTCAAGGGCACATGGACAAATTTTTCACCTAGTCTGCTTTTCAGTTACTGGCCCAACGCTCTTAACCACTAAGCTACCTGTTGTGGTCTATTAACTAATTTATCACCTGGTGATGTCACCAGGCAGGCCAAAACTCAAACAGCTCTTACACTAAAAGGCATTATCATAATTTTCACAATTTCACAGTATTATTCCAACGTCATAGTGTGGAAATGTATATGAAACAAAGGAAAAGCACATTTTGACTGCACTGGGCCTTTAAAAGCTCAGCAGATCCTCACAAATCCTGTCCATCAGGCCTGAATCCAGTCAGATGAATAATTGACCAGGGTAAGCAGCTCAAAGGTCTTTGTTTCAAGGTGTGGTGCCAGTTGTAGTACTCTAACGAGATGGCTGAGGACTCTCCAATCCTAATATAAGACTGTGGTTATAAATTCCCTGAAGAGGTCTCTTGGCTTCTGACCAATATTAGGATAGTGGGAAATGGTAGACACTGGTTAGACACTGTGTAAGGCAGAAAAGCCTTCCAACAAGCATGGCACTAAGTGTATTCTTGTCTTTCTTCCTAAAGCACAGGCCATATGTGTGAGTGCTTATAGTTTTTCAGTTCCAGTGTCTGTATGTCTGTCTGCTACAGTTTGATGACTTATGACGTACCTCAACTGTATGAGAGTGCCACTCTAGTTTCCATTTAGCCTACTTTGTCCCTACTGTACATCCCGGTACAAAGTCAACACAGCAGTTTTGCAGGCATTAACGGTTATACACTAGCACTATGAAAGTTGCTAGTGGAGCTACGGCAGAGATTTGAAAGACTTTCTGGAGTCGATAATAATTGCCAAGAAGGCTTTATATCTGTCAAATGATTTAAATATGAAGCTAGTTCTGAACTTAAGATACTGGTTATTTGGGATGTTCCCAAAGTCACTAAACTATCACTATACTGTCTTCTAAACAGGGTCTGTTGTTTTGAAACGTATGGAAGAAGGCAGATGGAGACTCAGCTTGGCTAAGGTAAGACGAGTTTGAGAGAGGAGATAAGGAGGAGGGCTGCAGTCATGTAGAGAGCCGTATGTGCCCCGTCCCTGAGAGAGAGCAGATGCAGGTCTGGCAGATGGGCTGAGACCCTTCGCATATGTTAGGAGGACACAGCTCCTAGCGTTTCCGGTATCATCTTTGGCTGCTAGAATCGTCTTCTGCTCCTCTTTCCCTTTCTAGTTGTATCTCGGGACACAGTGATTCTCTCCCGTCACCATCCTATCAGGCTGGGCGAATGTGACCTCATTTGCTTGTATAGAGTTTCTACTGGTTGCTGGTGGTGGTTGTTGTGCAGAATTGTACTAGGCCCAAATTCACAATGAGGATTGGTCTGGAAAGTATTTTGGTTCAAGACAGTCAGGTGTTGTACAAGTACAGCACAAGTGTTTTGGGACCTTTGGCTAATACAGAAATACTCAGATCATCCTGATCTTGCTTTTAAAATGTTGAGACTCCTTGTTGACCTCAATGCCCTCAAACTCTCCGGAGTCGTCTGGACGGTGTTTCATCACTGGCCTGAGAGGTTGACCTCCTGATTGGGATCACAGATCACTCCATTTAAATCAGTAGCTAATTAAACAAGAGCTCACACTGTATATAGGGCACCATATGTTGTAGTGTTGGACACCATCAAGGGCCCTGGGTCTGGAACAATCCCAGAAATAAACTTTACGGTTGAACTTTTTAAATGGTTTTATAACATTGCTTAAAATGCATTTGTATGGGGCTGTAAATGTGTCACAGTGTGATATTTGAAGGTAAAAAAAAAACGTTTAGCAAAAAACAATAGCAGTAGGCACCAGGGCAAAGGGAGCAACTTCCTTGAACTGACTGATTCCATGAACTGATCTCTGGGTCGACCGTAGGCAGATCGCGTTCCCTGCGGCCACTGAAAACCATCAAGACAATCCGCCAAAACATCAATGGTGGCTCAGACGCTCAGCCTCCAGACATGTGATAGCCCTACAATGGCTCTTTCCTGGAGAGTGATGAATGCACTATTCTGACCCATATAGACATATCAAACACATATTCAATAATACATATATGGTTATCCCTGGTGTTCAATCTGACAAGAAAACCCCCTGAAACAGGCTGAATAATATAGATTCTCCTTGTGTTGTGGTATTGATCCCCTGTGTGCAGGCTCTGGCTCTTGTCCAGTGTCTCTTTGGTTACCAGGGAAATGGGTGTTGATGCACTGATGGATCCTTAGAGCCTGTTTCTCTCTGTTTACCGATAGATTCTGGGTCAACACATCTCTAGCAGAGAAAATCCATCGCCAGGTGTCAGGCAATCAGTGGCATTCTGGGTTAATTGATTATAGCCAAAGGCTAAGGGGAAGCTCTTTGCTTAGCCAATGTGGATGGTGGATGAATGAAAATTAGGTAACAATTTCCACATGGCAAGTGTTTTATAATAAAAAACATCACATCATCAGATATCTTAGCCAACCATTCTCATAGCTAACAGTGATGGGGGGAGGGGGAATCAATAGTTATATATCGCAATATTATTTATGGACGATATTACACTGAACAAAAATATAAACGCAACACGCAACAATTTCAAAGATTTTACTGAGTTACAGTTCATATAAGGAAATCAGTCAATTGAAATTAATGTGACTGGGAATACAGATATGCATCTGTTGGTCACAGATACCTTTAAAAAAAGGTAGGGCGTGGATCAGAAACTAGTCAGTATCTGGTGTGACCACAATTTGCCTCATGCAACATAGAGTTGATCAGGCTGTTGATTGAGGCCTGTGGAATGTTGTCCCACTCCTCTTCAATGGCTGTGCGAAATTGCTGGATATAGGCGGGAACTGTAACACGCTGTTGTACACATCGATCCAGATCATCCCAAACATGCTCAATGGGTGACACATCTGGTGAGTATTCAGGCCATGGAATAACTGGGACAATTTCAGCTTCCAGGAATTGTGTATAGATCCTTGCGACATGGGGCCGTGCATTATCATGCTGAAACATGAGGTGATGGTGGCGGATTAATGGCACGACAATGGGCCTCAGGATCTCGTCATGTTACAGTTGAAGTCGGAAGTTTACATTCACTTAGGTTGGAGTCATTAAAACTTGTTTTTCAACCACTCCACAAATTTCTTGTTAACAAACTATAGTTTTGGCAACTCGGTTAGGACATCTACTTTGTGCATGACACAAGTAATTTTTCCAACAATTGTTTACAGACAGATTATTTCACTTATAATTCACTGTATCACAATTCCAGTGGGTCAGAAGTTTACATACACTAAGTTGACTGTGCCTTTAAACAGCTTGGAAAATTCCAGAAAATTATGTCATGGCTTTAGAAGCTTCTGATAGGCTAATTGACATCATTTGAGTCAACTGGAGGTGTACCTGTGGATGTATTTCAAGGCCTACCTTCAAACGCAGTGCCTCTTTGCTTGACATCATGGGAAAATCAAAAGAAATCAGCCAAGACCTCAGAAACAAAAATTGTAGACCTCCACAGGTCTGGTTCATCCTTGGGAGCAATTTCCAAACGCCTGAGGGTACCACGTTCATCTGTACAAATAATAGTACGCAAGTATAAACACCACGGTACCACGCAGCCGTCATACCGCTCAGGGAGGAGACGCGTTCTGTCTCCTAGAGATGAATGTACTTTGGTGCGAATCAATCCCAGAACAACAGCAAAGGACCTTATGAAGATGCTGGAGGAAACAGGTACAAAAGTATCTATATCCACAGTAAAACTAGTCCTATATCGACATAACCTGAAAGGCCGCTCAGCAAGGAAGAAGCCACTGCTCCAAAACCGCCATAAAAAAGCCAGACTACAGTTTGCAACTGCACATGGGGACAAAGATCGTACTTTTTGAGAAATGTCCTCTGGTCTGGTGAAACAAAAATAGAACTGTTTGGCCATAATGACCATCGTTATGTTTGGAGGAAAAAGGGGGTTGCTTGCAAGCCGAAGAACACCATCCCAACCGTGAAGCACAGGGGTGGCAGCATCATGCTGTGGGGGTGCTTTGCTGCAGGAGGGACTGGTGCACTTCACAAAATAGATGGCATCATGAGGAAGGAATATTATGTGGATATATTGAAGCAACATCTCAAGACATCAGTTAGGAAGTTAAAGCTTGGTCGCAAATGGGTCTTCCAAATGGACAATGACCCCAAGCATACTTCCAAAGTTGTGGCAAAATGGCTTAAGGACAACAATGTCAAGGCATTGGAGTGGCCATCACAAAGCCCTGACCTCAATCCTATAGAAAATGTGTGGGCAGAACTGAAAAAGCGTGTGCGAGCAAGGAGGCCTACAAACCTGAATCAGTTACACCAGCTCTGTCAGGAAGAATGGGCCAAAATTCACCCAACTTATTGTCGGAAGCTTGTGGAAGGCTACCCGAAACGTTTGACCCAAGTTAAACAATTTAAAGGCAATGCTACCAAATACTAATTGAGTGTATGTAAACTTCTGACCCACTGGGAATGTGATGAAAGAAATAAAAGCTTAAATAAATTATTCTCTCTACTATTATTCTGACATTTCACATTCTTAAAATAAAGTAGTGATCCTAACTGACCTAAGACAGGGAATTCTTACTAGGATTAAATGTCAGGAATTGTGAAAAACTGAGTTTAAATGTATTTGGCTAAGGTGTACGTAAACTTCCAACTTCAACTGGAGCTCTGTGCATTCAAATTGCCATCAATAAAATGCAATTGTGTTTGTTGTCTGTAGCTTATACCTGCCCATACCATAACCCCACCACCACCATGGGGCACTCTGTTCACAACGTTGACATCAGAAAACCGCTTGCCCACACGACGCCAAACATGCTGTCTGCCAGCCGCCTCGTACAGTTGAAACCGAGATTCATCTGTGAAGAGCACAATTCACCAGCGTGCCAGTGGCCATCGAAGGAGAAATGCTCACTAATTGGGATGTAAACAAAGTTGTGGACAAACTTTGAGAGAAATAAGCTTTTTGTGCATATGGAACATTTCTGGGATCTTTCATTTTGGCTCATGAAACATGGGACCAACACTTTACATGTTGCGTTTATATATTTTTGTTCAGTGTATATCGATATCTGACTTCAAGTATCTATTTTTTTGTTTTGTTTTGCTACTGTAGGTAGCGTTAGCTAGTGCTAGTCGGCTGTACCAGCGCAAAAACTGCACTCTTATTTCCCTGACTGATCAAAACTTCTAATGCTCTCTCTTGTCTCTCTGCAGCAGACATATAGTGAGCAATATTGCAGTAAAATTGCAGCAATAATCGCAATAAAATTGCAGTATCGAATCGCAATACTGAGGGAAAAAAGTATTTGATCCCCTGCTGATTTTGTACGTTTGCCCACTGACAAAGAAATGATCAGTCTATAATTTTAATGGTAGGTTTATTTGAACAGTGAGAGACAGAATAACAACAAAAAAATCCAGAAAAATGCATGTCAAAAATGTTATAAATTGATTTGCATTTTAATGAGGTAAATAAGTATTTGACCCTCTCTCAATCAGAAAGATTTCTGGCTCCCAGGTGTCTTTTATACAGGTAACGAGCTGAGATTAGGAGCACACTCTTAAAGGGAGTGCTCCTAATCTCAGCTTGTTACCTGTATAAAAGACACCTGTCCACAGAAGCAATCAATCAATCAGATTCCAAACTCTCCACCATGGCCAAGACCAAAGATCTCTCCAAGGATGTCAGGGACAAGATTGTAGACCTACACAAGGCTGGAATGGGCTACAAGACCATCGCCAAGCAGCTTGGTGAGAAGGTGACAACAGTTGGTGCGATTATTTGCAAATGGAAGAAACACAAAAGAACTGTCAATCTCCCTCAGCCTGGGGCTCCATGCAAGATCTCACCTCGTGGAGTTGCAATGATCATGAGAACGGTGAGGAATCAGCCCAGAACTACACGGGATGATCTTGTCAATGATCTCAAGGCAGCTGGTACCATAGTCACCAAGAAAACAATTGGTAACACACTACGCCGTGAAGGACTGAAATCCTGCAGCGCCCGCAAGGTCCCCCTGCTCAAGAAAGCACATATACAGGCCCGTCTGAAGTTTGCCAATGAACATCTGAATGATTCAGAGGAGAACTGGGTGAAAGTGTTGTGGTCAGATGAGACCAAAATCGAGCTCTTTGGCATCAACTCAACTCGCCGTGTTTGGAGGAGGAGGAATGCTGCCTATGACCCCAAGAACACCATCCCCACCGTCAAACATGGAGGTGGAAACGTTATGCTTTGGGGGTGTTTTTATGCTAAGGGGACATGACAACTTCACCGCATCAAAGGGACAATGGATGGGGCCATGTACCGTCAAATCTTGGGAGAGAACCTCCTTCCCTCAGCCAGGGCATTGAAAATGGGTCGTGGATTGGTATTCCAGCATGACAATGACCCAAAACACACGGCCAAGGCAACAAAGGAGTGGCTCAAGAAAAAGCACATTAAGGTCCTGGAGTGGCCTAGCCAGTCTCCAGACCTTAATCCCATA